AGCCCCACTGTCTGGGATCCCGGAGCCATCAGCCCAAGCCCTGTCGTCTGGGTCAATTTCCCATATTCCTGTGTGTGCGCTGGTGGCCGGGGGTTCTGCTGTACATGTTTTTATTTTTTCACAAAATATAAAAACTAAAGATTCTCTGTAAAAACGCAAATCCCAGGGTTTTTCGGGGGCAAATTGTTTTCTAGGATCCCTGATGATGAACCCCAAAGCAAAAGAATGCCTGGGGGCCGCTGTGAGATATATGGCACCCCATGAGATGGCTCTCTCAATATTTCCAGCCCACTTCTGCAAACTCAGGAGGTTTTGAATAGTTCGGATGAGATCTGAATAAGGGATTCTTACCCAAATCAAACCCCACAAATGATCTGAAATTCCCCTGGTGACCGAATCTTACCATCAACCCCTTCCTAACACTGGGAAAGAGTAATTCCACCTGTCTGTGAGGGGGAGAATGACTCATTTGGCTGATAGTATTAGTGTGGGTTTCCCCCTCAGTCACTGGTGGGCATAAGCTAGAAAAGCTGATGAGGTTCCATCTAAAAGTGCTTCTATTATGGGAGAATATTAATTCCAGACTCATCTGACTGGCGTTAAAAACAATTTAATATTTTGTCTTAATTATTATGATTATTGTTGCTTTTAGAATAGTCAGTCAAAAAGTCAGAACCTTCAGGGGTGTTTCAACTTTTCTGAGCTGTCAGACAGTAAAACTGGTCCCCTAGGAATGAGCTGAAAGAATTTTGAAGCAGAAATAAATACAAAAACTCTGTTGTCATTTTGCTTTTTCTGATGCTTGAGAATCTATAAACAACATTCCTCTCCATGGAAATCTGTTTGTTACTATAAATTACAGGAACATATTCCCACCTATAGTTATCTCATTACACCCTACAATTGCATTTTTTTTAAATAAAAAGAATTCATATAACCTCTTTGCAGTGTTCCAGAACCGCTTTAATAATTTAGATGCATACACAGGTTCCTATTAAATAAACCACTAAATAATTGGGAGTTGATTAGGGAGCAGATGAGCTTGAAGAGAAAATGATGTCATATTTGAGGTTGGTATTGGGCTGTACCTCCCCCAGCATTTTCCAGTTAATTTTTACAACCAGAAAAAAAAGCCATGCAAATTATTTCTTCATGCCCCTTGCTATTGTTTAAAACATTTAAATTCTGTTTATAGTGGACTGCAACAATGGTGAAAGACATACAGTTGTGGCTTTTTTATGTAACCTTCACTGGAGTGGATGTACATGTCCATGAATTTGTTGATCTCGTCACCGTCCGCAGAAGAACTCAAAATTCTACTTTTTAATGCAAAATCAGTCTGACCAAGAAGCTTGTTGGCTCCTGATTTTGGAGTAACATGCACCTCCAAGTTAAATATCCCGTGATGAAATCCATCAGTGAGAAATCATAAGACAGTCCGAGGGAGGCATGGTCGTATGCTAACTGCATGCATGCAGATATAGGCAGAGATCTATATAAAGTAGGACATTTAGCTGTGTAGGCAAAGGCCATCAATATTCAGAGCCTTCAAGGCTATGATCAATTAGAGAGCTTGAAACACAGACCTCAGGGTCTGCAGAGCCAGCCAAACCCCTTATTTTCCAATGTTTTCTGGGATTTCCTGAGCCTTCTGGATGATGAAGGTTGTGCAGTATTGTACACATACTTGACATACATTGAAGTATGTTGGGGGATGAATGGCTGAATACAACGAAGAATGAATGAAAATACCATGCAAAGTATTTGGCTTCTAGCTTCAAATTCTGTTCTACACACATTCTTTTATCACCCTCATCAACATAGCGTCTGATAGCTTCCCAGTAGTGTATAAATGACATGACTAACATCTGTCATGCGTGGTTCATTTTCTCCCCAGGGGGAGAATCATGAGAGCAGTGTAGTGTTATGGTAGGTTATTTGGTTTTTTTCTTTGTATGGCCATGCTGCTCCATGTCTACATGAGAGAAGGCAAGTCACAGAAGTATGCCTTGCCTTGTGAGTGGCATTGTGAGGTTTATGACGGTCCTTGGTTCCTGTGGGAGTTTGTTCCATAGTCTCAGAGAAGCCTTCAAGAAAGCTCTGTTTCCTGCACAGATGAGCTTCACCTTTGTGGAAGAAAGTTCCATTGTGCTCTAGAACGCAAGGTGTCAACCACCATCCTCATCTTGGAGCTTTAGACCCAAATCAGCCCAGGTCAATAGTAACTAAAAATGGTTACCACCTGATCGAGGACTGATTGCCTTTGTGAAATGGATGGGTGGTCTCGGAGCCATTGCCAGCAGTCCACATTGTAGTTAACATTACTTGATACCTCTCTGCGCAATCAAGGCTTTAATGGCTGTCTTCCCAGCTCTGAAGCTGACATTCTACAGGAAAGTGCGTTCACTGCCCCCGTAGCTAATTATGGAGGCGCCAGTTGCAGCCCCATAGTTAAGATTAAGTTTTGTGCAATGCAGAGGGAGTCAACCTGTAGTTATATATGAAAAACACAGCTTATCCTCCCCAAAATTACAGCACTTACTCTTTAATAGATTTTCAGATATACAGCTGTTATTCCAGCACCTGTTCCCGCACTAAACATGACTAGAGCTGGGTGCAATGTGTCAGTTTTCAAAACCATTTCAAGACATTTTTTCGTTTTTTTTTCAATCAGCTTTAGAAAACAATGATTAAAAGTGCCACCTACACTTAGCTTTCAAGGGAGCAAAATGAGACAGGTCACTAGCAGGTGTTGGTTCATGGTTCCCAAGCCCCTTCATATTTCTGCATCACCTACAGATGATTTCCAGGCTTAAGGAAATGTTACTGGTCCAATGGGAACTTGTGGTTCACAACTGAGCTGATTAAGATCTTGGTTCATTCAGTGGCTACTGCTGCTTATGCTTGCAATCAGTGAAAAGTCTAAACACTCTTGAGCCTTACCACTGTTATCACCATTTACTTTCAGCTGCTTTGCACTGCCTCTAGTTTGAAGAACTGCTAAACTTTTCATACACACAATCGGTGTGAGAGTCAGATCTAAACATGCTCCAAAACAAAAAGAACAAATCAATTTCTATTAGGGCTGCTACCTGTCCCAGTTTTCTCAGGGTTGTCCCTTTTTTAGGTAGCTGTCCTGGAAAATCCTGTAAGTCTTTCCGGAACCTTAAAAGCACAAGCACCAGAACTGGGAAGGCCAGGGGGCCATTCCCCCCACTTTTTAACAAAAGAAACATAAGCACAGAATTCATGTCCCCCGCAGATTTTTTCCCCCCAGCAGATTAACAAATTCTGCCGGGGAGGTGCTGCAAGTACATCTTTTGCCCACCAGGGGCTGCTGTGGCACCAGAAAAGAGGGCAGCTGGCTCACTAACAGAGCAGCCAGTTGAGGAGAAAGAGGGGTTACTTTGGCCTTGCCCTTCCCCCCAATTCTAGAAAGGCTCCGGCGCTTTAAAGTCCTGGCTTTTGTCAGTTATGAGACCTCTGGCTCCCCCAGTCCGTAGTGATTATAGCAGATAGTCATCTGTATGTTTGGTGATTTCTGATTTCCACATTTTTTAAAAAATACAGTGCTGTAAATACTAAGCACAAAAAAATGCTAACAAGACTGAGCAGCGCTGATTTCCAAAATTCTCCACATATTCATGTTCTTCCCTTTCTAGAAGAGGTTGCCAAGGTTTTTATTTTATTTTTAATCTCTCCGTCAAGATTTAAATGCCAACAGATGAAAGAGGTTTATTTCCAGAACGTCATCTGCTTTAAAAAGTCCTCTATAGTCATAAATATGATTAGACGTTGATTAGTAGAAAATGCAAACATAAAGCCAACATCTGACAATTTGATGTTTGTGTTTGGTAACAAACTGTCCACAGACCACACTTAGGCCAAGTTGGGTACTTGTAGGTTATTAGTCCACAAGTAAGCAGTATTTTGAGCTATTATCATTCATATTTGCTTTGCACTGAATGGAGTGTTTGGAGATCTCTAATGAAACCTGCAATGAGCCTAAAACTGCTAAAGGAATTAAAAGCCCCTGTACAGAAGATGCCACTTAATGGGCAACCTTCTGTCTTAAGAGGTTGCCCTCAAAGTATCCACAAACATGTTAAGCACAATTTACTGCACCTTCATTAGAAAGCCTTCTCCGTTAAACAACTGATTTTTTCCAAGTCCTTAGCTAGTTGTGATTCACTGTTATTTCAGCCATGAGTGCATTTTTACAGAGAAATTATACATTTGAAAATAGAGATTTAAAATGGAGATGTCGAACCGAAAATGTGGGGTGCCCAGGTTAAAACATTTTTAGACCTGATCTTGCTGTCCATTAAGTTAATGGGGATTTGGGCATTGCCTTCAATGGAACAGGATCAATCCCCCCAAAAGCACATTTCTCTTCGCTCCTTTTAATAATAATACCTTAGACTCGGAAAATGGATTTTTAAAAATATTATTTGCTTTTGACCGTTTATGCTGTTTACATTTTGCACTACAATTAGTCTGGGGAGACAATGAAAATAGATGGGTCAGTTTTACCTTCATGTTCTCTTGCACTACAACATTGACATCTGTGGCTTGCAAACATGGTAGGGGCTTAAGTCCTCTCCTTCAGATCTGGTGTTGCATTGGCATTTAAAAATCTAGAAATGTGTTAATCAACACAGTGCTTGGGAGAAGCCAGTGGACTTTGGGAGGAAGAGAAGAGTCTCCTGCTGGGTTATTTGGGCTGGGCATTTGGAAGGAGATTTTAGGTATAAGTGTTGATCCTGGAATGGATCTGGATGGGCAGTCCCATTGACGCCAGCGGGAATCCACACAGGCACAGGGCTCTGCCTATGTGGATTCGATTGCAGGATCCGGATCACAATTTGTAAATGCTCTTGTGTTCCTTCTGGAAGAAAGGTGCCACATAAGTGTAACTCATTGCCGATGCTAGTCCTATCACAAGCAGTGGGGCTGGAAATCAAGTGGAAATTTGTATATCGATCTCTCCTTTGTTTTAGATTCACCAAGATGAAGACGGCCACCAACATTTACATCTTTAATCTCGCCCTGGCCGATACCCTGTGTCTGATAACCTTACCCTTCCAGGGTACGGACACATTCCTAGGGTTCTGGCCCTTTGGAAACATCCTCTGCAAGATCGCCATCTCCATTGACTACTACAACATGTTCACCAGCACTTTCACCCTGACCATGATGAGCGTGGATCGTTACATCGCCATCTGTCACCCCATCAAGGCGCTGGATATCCGTACCCCCCACAAGGCCAAAGTGGTCAACATCTGCATCTGGGCCCTGGCTTCAGTCTTCGGTATCCCAGCTATGGTGATGGGTTCAGCAGAGAATGAAAATAATGGTCAGTAAAAATGAACTAACGGGATATTCTCCAAACTAGACTCTGCATCCATGTGATAGGTGCACAGGGTTCCAATATCACTAGCTCATTAAGTCTGTCTGTTACTGTAACACCTCTTCCCTCATGGGCTATAAGCATGTTTTAAACCACAATCTTCATCTCCACAATATATAAAATGTTAATTGAGATAAAGTAGTAGTTCCATAAGTTGGTAGCTGTAATAGGCTTTTATCCTCTGGTGACAAGAGCAATGTTGCACTTGGTTAGGGAAAATAATCCTTTCCTACCCAGTGGCACTCAGTTTACGATCTGAAGCATGAGACTTGATTTCCCTAATGTCTGTTAATCAGTTCATATGCATCTGTTATCCATCCTCCTGCATGCAAGAGTCCCTCTTACAATCTTAACAGTGAGTCCTTTAAAAAAGAGTGTTAATTGTGATCCTATAGTATGTACGGATACACCATGGTGGAATTAATTCTCTGGCAGCTCAGCTGTTGGGTCCTGACCAATCAAAAAATGTAAGGACAATCTCAAAGCAATCACTGCTGGATGAAAGTCAGAAATGTAGTGCCTTTATCTCTGTCTTCCTAGCCCATTTCCTTAGAATCTTTCCTTTTTTGGAAATTCTGAAAATCCTCTTGGTTTCCCCCATCTTAACCCCTCTTTCGCTACAAGGCTTGCTATCACAGCCACTGCTTTTCTAGTTGAAGGGGGCTGGATGCAGGATCCCTTCAGAGCCAATCGACATTGATAGTCAGTATTCACAGAAGCTATTATTATACCGACAGATCTCAGTCATCGGTGGGTGGGATTGAACCTGGGACCTCTGGAGCTTAGTGCATGAGCCTCTATAGCAGTGGTCCCCAATGCGGTGCCCGCGGGTGCCATGGCGCCTGCTGGGTCATCTATGTGCCGGTGGGCAAGCATCCGCCGAAATGCTGCCGAGAAGCAGCGTCATCAAGAGGTGTCACCGCTGAAATGCCGCTGATTTTCAGTGGCATTTCAGCAGCGACGCCTCTTGACGTTGCCGCTTCTTGGCGGCATTTCGGCGAATGCTTGTCCGTTGGCCACGGGCCTCTGTGGCTCATCGTCCGGCGCCCGCCAGATGAAAAAGGTTGGGGACCACTGCTCTACAGTATGAGCTAAAAGCCAATTGGCTGTTAGCTAAGGCTGTAGACCAGACTCATTTTAGCTCGCTCTCTAAGTGGTCTTGGGGCCACGAGATGGGACAGACCACCACATCCAGAAGGTGTGTGGGTAACACTACCACCCTTTAAAATCTCTGCAACCAGCAGTTGCCATGTCCACAGTGTTGAAGCCATAACAATTACTGAGCCAGGGAAATTAATCCTTATCTTGGCACCCAGAGTATTTTTTCTAAGCAAACAAATAATTAATTAAAAAAAGAAAAGAAAAGCCCTTGCCGATTCTCGTTTCACGTGGCTGAGAATGATGAAAAGAACATTATCTTCCGCCTGTTCTCTCCACTTGCACACAAGCCTCAAGGGACTAATAAGCTTTCCTGACTGCTTGCCCAGCTTGAAATGAGACGGGGTAATCTTGGGCTTCCAGGGTTTTAACTTTCACTTTAATGCCATCCTTAGCATGCAACTCAAACGATCAGCACAATTTTTGGAATTGAGAAGAAGGAAGAGACTGTATCTGTGATGCCATAAAGCACAGTGAATCATATTTCATGACCTTCTGGTGGATTAAGCCTGACACATTTCATAACCTTGAATGGTCTCTTTAGAATATATATTCATTACTTATGCTAAACTATCAGTTCGATCTTTTATTTAGCTGTGAGGCTCTCACTACCTTTCCCAGACCCGAAAAAGAGCTCTGTGTAGCTCAAAAGGTTGTCCCTCACACCAGCACACGTTGGTCCAATAAAACATATTACCTCCCCCAAGTTGTCTCTCTACATTTCATCAACAGACTTTCTAAAATTCTTCCTAAGCACTTGTCCTAATGTGTGGCTACATGGGAAGCTGAACACGAAGGCAAGATGCCTAGAGCTGTTAGCTGTCCTTATGCTTTCACTAATTTAGTGAAAGGGTCTCTTCCTTAACATGACATCTCTCTTTTTTTCAAGCTTCTGTGGGACAGGAGCAGTTGCATCACCTACGTGTGCATTTATGCTCAGTGTGACGCGGAAAGTTTTAGCCCAAAGGGTGTCAGCCTTTAGACATGACTTTGTTAATGAATTCCACTCGGAGTGCCTTTACATTCTCTGGGAATATGGATATTTCCAGTTTAAAGACACTTACAGGGAGACCAAAGGGTGCTGGAAGAGAGAAGGAATGAAAATTTCCTGTTTGACCTTGGGCAAGTCGCTTATCGATCTCTCTGTGTCTAGTCGTCCAGAGAAAGCACCATACTTTAATAGGTAGGTCACTCGCCTGAGATTCCAGAGACCTGGGTTTTATTCCAGCTCTGAAACTGATCTGCTGTGTCTCCTAGGGCAAATCACTTCACCGTGCCTCTGTTTTCCCTCCCACCTTTTGTCTGCTTAAATTGTAAACTCTTAGGGGCAGGGCTGATTCCTGCTCTGTGTTTGTACAGAGCCTAGCGCAACGAGGCCCTGAGCTCTGTTGAGCATTAATAAAATAAATGAAATTAGCAACAAGAGTGACTGCAAAGAATTGTCGGATTTACAGATGGTACCAATGTTGTTCTCAATACAAGTTGTTGTCTTTTTCTTTTCTTTGCAGAGATTGATTGTCTAATTAAGCTCCCTAAACCTGTGGATTACTGGGATCCAGTATTTGGGATTTGTGTCTTTCTCTTCTCCTTCATGATCCCTGTGTTGATCATCACCATTTGCTACAGTCTTATGATCCGGCGTCTTAAGAATGTCCGTGTTCTCTCAGGCTCCAAGGAGAAGGATCGGAATCTGCGGCGCATCACTCGAATGGTCCTGGTGGTGGTTGCTGTCTTCATTATTTGTTGGACCCCCATTCAGATTTTCGTGCTGGTCCAGTGCCTGGGTGCAAAGGCCGAAAGCGAGCTCGAGTTAGCCATCTCATGCTTCTGTACCGCACTGGGATATGCCAACAGCAGCTTGAATCCTGTCCTCTATGCCTTCTTGGATGAGAACTTCAAGACGTGCTTCAGAAAGTTCTGCTTCCCCGCCGCCTTCCGAACAGAGCTCCAGATGTCCAACAGGATGTGCAGTATCGCAAAAGATGTCGTTTATGCCTGCAAGAACTCAGAGGGGACTAACAATCCAGCATGACTAGGCATGGAAATTCCCATGGTGGCTGTCAGCCAGCAGAGCCCAACGACCCCCACTTCAGAGCTAACTCAGATAACAGCTCTTTAACAGGAGCTTTCTGACCCAGAATTGGAGACTGGAAACCTAGGCAGCAATCTGGGGGCAAGGCAAATAAAAGAACTGCAAGAGCATGCAGAAAAGTGAGCCATTTTGACACCTTTCTTATTCCACTGCTCTCCCTATTAAGTACTATATTTTAACTCAGCCACCATTAAGTCCTATGAGCCACTAAGGTCATGCACTTTGCTTACGGTTATAAAGAATTCAGGAATTAGAGTCGAACTCAGACTTTGCTCCTGAGGTTTATTTTGCCATTGTTTCTGGAAAGCAGACAAAATGCTAGTAACTTTTCTTGGTTGAGTTAGTTCAGTGGCTCATCAAATAATATGGATTGCCGTGTGCTTGTGTGGGAATTTTAGGCCAGCCGCGTCTCTCTGAAATGAGGCTTCATTGGCTCCAAAGCAAGGAACAGCAGTGAAACAAAACAAAGATCATTTCCAGAATTACTTATGACTGGTGTGTGTGTGTGTGTGTGTGTGTGTGTGTGTGTGAGAGAGCGTGCGCGCGTGCGCGCGTGGGGGAATTCAGACACTCCAGCCAAGAAAGAAAGAAAGAAGACTAGACAGTGTCATTGCATGGCTGGATATCTCAACTCAAAGCCACTGAAAGAGAAGTGGACAACTTCCAGTGAAGGAACATACTAAAATCAAACCATGTGCCACAGAGGTGGGGGGCAGGGCGGGAGGGATGTGAAGGGATTGTAAAAAATGACAAACAACTGCTTGGAAGGGGTAGAAGGCAAGACAAATGAGACAAATGTAAATTCAGAGGAAAGAGCTGGAATTGCTTTTTCTACATTTTCATTATAACAATGGATTGTACTTTGTGTGTGTGTGTGTGTTTGTGTGTGTTTGTGTATGTATATATACACACACGTCTATATAGAGATATAATTAATATTTCAACTTGCCAGACATTTCTCAGAGGCATTTCCCAATGGAGTCAAGACGACAGGTTAAATCAATGGAGTGGCTTAATATGCAAAGACATTTCAAGTTAGTTATGATGTCCTGAAGAAAGTACTGATATTTTGACAGCAAGGCATCTGAAAACACTCCAAGTTCCTCTGCTATCCTCCCTTCTGCTCCCTGTAATATGGACAAACAGTTCTACAAACAGACCGGCTGAGTGGCGCTGCAGACAGAATGCTGGAAGAGGGAGCCTTTCCCCCTAAAGTGTTCTGGGCATACTGCTCTAATCAGCTAGTGGGCACCCCCACCCAGCTGTGCGTCGCTTTTATGACACAACCGACTTGTCACCTCAAGTGAAATCATCTGCCCTGTTGTGTCATTAAAAACTGAAAGTGTTTATGAAGAATAAACCACTCAACCCTCCCTCCACGGGCGGCCTCTGAAAATGGAACCTTTTCTTTCTGTAGCACAAGAGACCAGGAGACCATTGGGGGCGGCAAAGAGTGGGAAAAAATGTTTCCTGACTGGCTGAAAGCAACAGGACTTTTTTAAACAGTTTGAGCTGGGGGTGGTAGGCTCCAAAATGAAGGAGGCAGCAATTCTTGCACTTCATACCAATTGTACAGATTTTCTTGTGCGCTGTTCTGCGAAATGATGTATTTTTAATGTGTTGATATGCTGACATTTTAATGCTGCACTGTTCTTTATATATATATATGCTGGATGAGAACACAATGTTATATTTCTATGTAAAGTTTTTCTCTTTTGGCAAGGCTTGGAGAACAATTAAAATTCCTAAGTCACACACCTAGGAACCAGACCACTTGAAAACTATGCTAAATTGTACATGCTCTGGGAACCAGAAGGAGTCTCAAGCATCTGTCATGGGATTTAAAGGGATTCAGTAGAAAACTTTGTAATTAATATTTTCTATTAAGAATTGAGGGGAAAAAAGACAGGCCCAGGAAATACTGTGCAATGGATAGTTACCCCCAAACAATTGCACCAGCAATGAGGACTGATATGATTACCCATAATAAAATATCAAGCATGCAGAGAAGTAACACCTGAAAACAATGTATCTTAAAGCCATTGCTGGCAATTGCATCCATATCCTTGGAAGATAAAAATAAGTTTTCTTTTCTTTCTCTTTTTATTTTTACTGCACGTAATGACAACACTACTATTCAATGAAGAATCTTGATTTCTCTTAACCATTAGCCATCACCTCGTTTGATAGGGTCGTTTACATGTTGTACACAAAGTGTGAAGAGGTTGAAATCGATGCACAATCACTTTCTGAAGTGCTGTTAGGGGACCCAGGCAAATGAGGTCTTTGACAGGAGAGGGTTCAGTTAATGACTGATCAAAGAACCTCAATGAACCCCTTTTTAGTTCTTGGTTGGATTGTTAAATACTTTTATGTCCTTAAGAAAAACTCTTGGGTTTCTTCGATCATTTAAGATGACACACACACTTATATATATAGTAAAAGTTGGGTGGCATTTTTTAAACAGAAATGACTTTGTTATCTTAACCTATGCTCAACCATCCTACAGAAACAATATACTCAGTAAGTGTCTGCCTACTCAGCTTTCGGATAATTCGTGGCCTTTGCCGTGAGTGTGTTATACATTCTGATTTATGCTCAATGGAATTTGTTATAAGAAGAGCAACTACAACAACAATGGAAGCTTTATTGTACTGTGCCTCTGGAAGTAAAGAATCATGGCTGGCTGAAATGCAAGCCCTTTAATTATCTTCTGAAACGGTCGTGGTGGGTCTGATTGAGCTTATGACTATTGCAGTGTAAATGGCAAATTTCCTACATGGTTACTTGTGCTTTAATAAAGGAAAATAAACGCCTGCACTTTGAATGATGTGGAATGTGGTGGCTTAATTCTATGAACTGCCTGGTTGTTGCCACAGTGGAACTACTGGAATATTTGCTCTTTAATACATAGGCTGATTTATAGGGTAGTAGCCATTTATGGGTCAGTCCCAATCAGTAAGATTGGTGGGGTTGAGCCCAACACCCACGGAAGTCAATGGGAGTTTTTTGATGTTGACGCCACTTGAAGCAAGGCAACCTAGAAACAGCTAAAATAGAAATGATAGAAAATAGGTAGCTAGATGCTAACAGCCCAAGTTCATAG